CTTTCTCTCTCTGTCTCTGTCTCTCCAGTCAGTACGCATGCCCTATAGCAAAAATCTCTCTTAAAAAATAAAAAGAGACTTTGATAAGTTCATCTTTACCATTTAAAAAATTTTTCTAGAGGGCATGTGTGCTTGCCAGAAAGACAAAGAAAGTAAGAGAATATCCGATGGGGTGTGGTCACACTACCATCCCTTCTCCATTTCTCCTTTCAGGATCTTGGGCACCCCATGCAGTCTGCATGTTTCTCAAGCTGTCAGGACTCAAAGCACACAGTCAGGCACGTGGGATCTGGCTACCTTAACTACCACATCGCCAGCTGGCCCAGGTTTTATCATTTCATCAGACTTCAGTAACTCCTGTGTTATACCAATAAAGGATTAGAAAAGCTGTGCCCCAAACCTTTTTCTTCTTCACTACATGGTACCTTAAGATCTGAGGTGATGAGGATAGTTAGGAACATCTGTCCTACGACATATACTACAATAGTTAAGGACAATTTTCCAGCACCAGTGTGACTTTTACTCGTGCAGACACAGTTCCTCTGTTGCAAAGTACTGTGTTATGTTTTGTGATGAGATCTGGGGAAGAAATTATAAGGAGAGATGCAGAATGACAAGAGAGGTAGCCTCTTATTCTTTTCTTGGTATGATGCAGGCATGTGTTCTAGTTGCTAGTAGTGGGTTAGAGAAAGGAGAGGACTTCTGTGGGACTTTAAAGGATAGACAGAATCTGATTGGGTGAAGAGGAAGATGTTTGAAACTGTAAGCTAAAACAAAGAAGCAGAAAAGTTCACAAGTCAATGATCAACACCTGATCAACTCACTCTTATTTGGGTTCCTTCTCAGCTTCCCTTATTTCCTTAATATTTTCCTGAATCAATGAAAGCTACAAGTCTAGGAATCCCATAAATCAGTGTTAATTTGACATATAATTTGCTAAATAGAAAGTAACTTCAGAGGCCACTGGACCATCTTCTAATGTTTATGGAGAAAACTATACAAATGCATTGACTTGTATAGATTATATATATATATATATATATAATTTTATATGTAATATAAATATTTTATATTTTATAATATAATAATATTTTTATATAATATATATATATTAAATCAGCTAAAAGTATAGAAGTTGATTCATAAACATTGGTACTAGAGAAAAATTTATACAATATTGGGTCTCTCATTTCAATTTCTAGAGGATGAAAGGGATGCCCAATTAGAAAACCTGACTTACCAGAAATCAGTTAATCTAACATAAAGTAGAAGAATGTATAAGTCTTCTGATTCCTTGCCAGTGCTCTTTTTACTGCATCAAATTTATTGTATTATAGAGGTATGTTTTTGTATGACTTCTTTGTAGGAAACATCTTTGTGTCATCTTCTTTATTATAAGGGCCTCAAAACCGTTAAAGCTTCTATCTTGACATCTGTGTGTGTAGGCATCCGTCCTTCACATCTCTCTAACACTCACTGCTGATGTACTTATCTGATATAATTTGGTGCTTCCTCCAGATTTCCACAAAGTGTACCCTGCTTCTTATCTCCCTGCAGTGCAGCTTCCTCCTCTTGCCACTAGCCAGACACTTCTATTTCTTCCCCCTAATATTGCTGTACTCATAGGATTTCCATATAACACCTAATGAACAGCTTTGTAAAACCCAATTCTGATGGTGACTGGGAAAAATTACTCTATTCAGTTCCCCAGTCTCATATTCCATGTGCCTAACTTGTGAAACTAAGCTTAGATCCACTTTTCATCTCCTCTCTCAGATCTGAGATCCTATTTGCCTTTCCAATTGAAGAAATTATTTAATTTTCACATAAGTTGCCTGGAAAATGGCTTTCCTTCTCAGCAGATGATAAAACACTTAATCAATCTAGTCATTTTGTTCCATAAGTGTAATAACCACTTATTATAAACCTTTCTTTGGAACTCTTATGTATTAAGGAATCTGTTTCCATAGGTGTTATTTTTTTTATTTAGATATCTACATTAAGCAAAACTTTTGTGTATAGTACATAGAGAAAAAGAGGAGTAGATAAGAAAATAGAACTTCTGTTCTTAATTACAGGAACTCCTATGGTAGGAACAAGTCATAGAATAACTGTTTCTCCTTTCTTCAACTTTCAGCCCAAAACATTTTTTTAAAGACAATTTTTTTTTTCTATAAGTATCATGGGCTTGCTGAGAGACAGAGAGACAGAAAGTAAGAAATCACCCCCCAGGGAGAATGGCCAAGCCACAATCCCTTCTCTTCCATTCTCCTCTTGGTATTTGAGGCATACAAGCACACGTGCCCAATGTGAGTTCTAAGCCGCTGAGTCCAGGACTCCGAATCATGGTTGATTACATGGGAGTCCAGCAATGTAACCATTATTCCATATGCTGGTCCAAAGCCCAAAATAGTTTCACATGCTTAGTTAAGTATATAATTCTAAACTTTTTTTTTTTTTTGGAGAGATTTTCACTGTAGGGCGCGTGCGCTCGCCAGACAGACAGAGAGAGACATAGAGACAGAAAGCGAGAAATCCCCCCCCGGGGGGATGGTCACGCCGCAATCCCTTCTCCTCCATTCTCCTCTTGGGATCTTGGGCACGCACGCACACGCGCCCAGCGTGAGTTTTAAGCCACCGGGTCCAGGATGCGAACCGCGGTCGACTATGTGGGAGTCCAGCGACATAGCCATTACACTAACTGCTGGTTCCCTGTAAACTTTTTTTTTAACCTTTAACATTTTAATGTATTTGTTAACACCCATCACTTACATTAACACCACCCAGATTCCACAGATCAAAAATAAAAAGAATACTGAAAACTCCTGAAGAGTAAGTAATAAGAAAACCAAATTTAAATACAACATAGTGAAGCCATGAAGTAATAACAAAACATCAATTATAAATTTATTAATACAGTTTTGAACCTGATCTCTCCAAATATGTGTATGATGATGACTCTTTGAAGTATCAGGCTCCTACGAGGAACCATTCATTACCTACTAAACATTCATTCCCTTAGAGAATAAGTATGTGTTAAGCAATTACAATGTTAGATTCTGTTTTGGGGATTCAAAACAGTAGTGAACAACCCAGACAAGACTTCCCTGTCTTCTTAGAACTCACATTCTAAACACAAGAAAAAATAATATATTTGATAAATAAAATATAAAGTGTGTCAGTGGAAAGAACTAAGATGAAAAAAATCAAGCAGGGAAGGTACTAGAATAACAGGGAAGGTACTAGATCAACAAGATGGACTAGATAAACAGTCTGATCAGGGATTTTTATATTATTTTCCTAAGTTTTCTTCTGGTGACAACTTCATCCTCTCTTTATCACCTCACGACAGCTCTAAATAAAGGAGAGCAAGCCCTTTCTGTTATCCCACTTGGTGACTTCTTTTTGACACAAACGTAATTCAATGATTTAATTTTCCCTAAAAGTCATAGGCAGTGGACAAAGGGCCAGGTGCCAGGATTTTATAAGCAAAATCTGACAGTGCAAACTGCTGTCTCCCCTAGGAGAAAAACATGTCTTGGACGGAATCTGAAGCTAAGGAATTTAGATCAGACAACAGTAATTATGTATTATTTTTCTCTGGGTATGTTTTGTCTGTAGCAAGTGGAGTCATCTAAAACAATTTTATTGCACTTTATGTTCAGGATGTTCTTTTCAAAAATTAACTACTTTAGTGTCCAAATTGTTGAATGCCTCACTAATGATTTTGCCTCACTAATGAGTTTGTTTTTAAGTGTTGTAAGAACAGAAGTTTCTGGAAACTGACACTCTTCTTCTTCTCCTTCTTCTTCTTCTTCTTCTTCTTCTTCTTCTTCTTCTTCTTCTTCTTCTTCTTCTTCTTTTCATTTTCCCCCCTCTTTATTTTTCCCTTACTCCCAGTTAAAAGTATAGCTCTAAAAAAGAAGTCGTTTGTGGCTGTACAGGGGATGAAGGGGCAAAACAAGAAGATTCATGATCCCATT